CACACCAACCAATCCACAATTGACACTTCCAATTCAACTGAGTCCTCACTGACACCGGTGTCCCGTGACGACGCACCGACACAAGTCATAGACCGCATTCCGTCGCACACTTCCGATAGCGTACACAGCACGTCAGTCGTCATTTGACTTCATCTCAATTAATATTATATGATGATCATTGAAATTATTCGTATTGATGTGTCAAGAATTCCCAGATCAGTCCAATCTAATGCAGACAGAACACGATGAGCACAACTCAACGTGTTATATTCGGAATTTGAATTAGCCACAGAATGAAGCACAATGTAATCACAAATTGGTTCAAATAACACAACCGTTACAGCTCAAATGGGAATCCAGATTTCTGTAGTTTATTATTCATCTTCTCAGTAGGTCGGTCATGTGTCTGTCCGGTTGTGTATTGAGTATAGACTGTGTGTGATCTAGAATGTACTCACTAGTATTATAATTAACTACGGAAATTGCAACGGACTCATCTGAATCGTTGTAATATCTCTTCTAGTTGTGCACCAGATTTCAAACAGCTCCATATAGTGTTCGAAGAAATCCCCACATGCGAAATATCCGACTGTCCACAATTTCACTCGATCGTGACGCCAATATGATCATTAGAATTAGTCGAGATGACGTGCTAACTACAAACTCCAAGCATAGTCCAATTTAATAGAGACAGAACACGATGAGAACAACGAATGAGACAGTCGGTGGAAGATTGGTTTGACGTGATGCACCTCCACATGTGAGTGTCAACGTAGCTGTGGTTGATGTGGATGTGGATTGAGTAGGTGTGTAAGTTGGTTGTAGTAGTAGTAGTAGTAGTAGTAGTAGTAGTAGTAGTAGTGTTTGTTGAATATGTTGTGATTGAGGATTCGTGGATGTTGGTGTTGTTAATTTGTTGGTTTCGGTGTTATTGTTGGGAATGACTGAGATTGTCGTTGGTGTGATGAAGGTGAGTGAGACGTGTGTGAAGTGTTCAGTTCTGTCGATTAGATTCGACAGAGTATTGATTTTTGTGTGTGGGTGCGTTGGTGTCGAGGTGACTGTGTGATGGAGATGGTGGGTGTGTTGTGATAGCGTGACGTTGGTTCGCGAACACATCGTCGCTGTGGTCTAGTGGTTAGGACATTGCGTTGTGGCCGCACTAACCCAGGTTCGAATCCTGGCAGCGACATCCGCCTTATTGCCTCCACTACACACATTCACTACCATCGACTGCATTCGCACCATCCCACACAATCACCACTGCACTTCACACCAACCAATCCACAATTGACACTTCCAATTCAACTGAGTCCTCACTGACACCGGTGTCCCGTGACGACGCACCGACACAAGTCATAGACCGCATTCCGTCGCACACTTCCGATAGCGTACACAGCACGTCAGTCGTCATTTGACTTCATCTCAATTAATATTATATGATGATCATTGAAATTATTCGTATTGATGTGTCAAGAATTCCCAGATCAGTCCAATCTAATGCAGACAGAACACGATGAGCACAACTCAACGTGTTATATTCGGAATTTGAATTAGCCACAGAATGAAGCACAATGTAATCACAAATTGGTTCAAATAACACAACCGTTACAGCTCAAATGGGAATCCAGATTTCTGTAGTTTATTATTCATCTTCTCAGTAGGTCGGTCATGTGTCTGTCCGGTTGTGTATTGAGTATAGACTGTGTGTGATCTAGAATGTACTCACTAGTATTATAATTAACTACGGAAATTGCAACGGACTCATCTGAATCGTTGTAATATCTCTTCTAGTTGTGCACCAGATTTCAAACAGCTCCATATAGTGTTCGAAGAAATCCCCACATGCGAAATATCCGACTGTCCACAATTTCACTCGATCGTGACGCCAATATGATCATTAGAATTAGTCGAGATGACGTGCTAACTACAAACTCCAAGCATAGTCCAATTTAATAGAGACAGAACACGATGAGAACAACGAATGAGACAGTCGGTGGAAGATTGGTTTGACGTGATGCACCTCCACATGTGAGTGTCAACGTAGCTGTGGTTGATGTGGATGTGGATTGAGTAGGTGTGTAAGTTGGTTGTAGTAGTAGTAGTAGTAGTAGTAGTAGTAGTAGTAGTGTTTGTTGAATATGTTGTGATTGAGGATTCGTGGATGTTGGTGTTGTTAATTTGTTGGTTTCGGTGTTATTGTTGGGAATGACTGAGATTGTCGTTGGTGTGATGAAGGTGAGTGAGACGTGTGTGAAGTGTTCAGTTCTGTCGATTAGATTCGACAGAGTATTGATTTTTGTGTGTGGGTGCGTTGGTGTCGAGGTGACTGTGTGATGGAGATGGTGGGTGTGTTGTGATAGCGTGACGTTGGTTCGCGAACACATCGTCGCTGTGGTCTAGTGGTTAGGACATTGCGTTGTGGCCGCACTAACCCAGGTTCGAATCCTGGCAGCGACATCCGCCTTATTGCCTCCACTACACACATTCACTACCATCGACTGCATTCGCACCATCCCACACAATCACCACTGCACTTCACACCAACCAATCCACAATTGACACTTCCAATTCAACTGAGTCCTCACTGACACCGGTGTCCCGTGACGACGCACCGACACAAGTCATAGACCGCATTCCGTCGCACACTTCCGATAGCGTACACAGCACGTCAGTCGTCATTTGACTTCATCTCAATTAATATTATATGATGATCATTGAAATTATTCGTATTGATGTGTCAAGAATTCCCAGATCAGTCCAATCTAATGCAGACAGAACACGATGAGCACAACTCAACGTGTTATATTCGGAATTTGAATTAGCCACAGAATGAAGCACAATGTAATCACAAATTGGTTCAAATAACACAACCGTTACAGCTCAAATGGGAATCCAGATTTCTGTAGTTTATTATTCATCTTCTCAGTAGGTCGGTCATGTGTCTGTCCGGTTGTGTATTGAGTATAGACTGTGTGTGATCTAGAATGTACTCACTAGTATTATAATTAACTACGGAAATTGCAACGGACTCATCTGAATCGTTGTAATATCTCTTCTAGTTGTGCACCAGATTTCAAACAGCTCCATATAGTGTTCGAAGAAATCCCCACATGCGAAATATCCGACTGTCCACAATTTCACTCGATCGTGACGCCAATATGATCATTAGAATTAGTCGAGATGACGTGCTAACTACAAACTCCAAGCATAGTCCAATTTAATAGAGACAGAACACGATGAGAACAACGAATGAGACAGTCGGTGGAAGATTGGTTTGACGTGATGCACCTCCACATGTGAGTGTCAACGTAGCTGTGGTTGATGTGGATGTGGATTGAGTAGGTGTGTAAGTTGGTTGTAGTAGTAGTAGTAGTAGTAGTAGTAGTAGTAGTAGTAGTAGTAGTAGTAGTGTTTGTTGAATATGTTGTGATTGAGGATTCGTGGATGTTGGTGTTGTTAATTTGTTGGTTTCGGTGTTATTGTTGGGAATGACTGAGATTGTCGTTGGTGTGATGAAGGTGAGTGAGACGTGTGTGAAGTGTTCAGTTCTGTCGATTAGATTCGACAGAGTATTGATTTTTGTGTGTGGGTGCGTTGGTGTCGAGGTGACTGTGTGATGGAGATGGTGGGTGTGTTGTGATAGCGTGACGTTGGTTCGCGAACACATCGTCGCTGTGGTCTAGTGGTTAGGACATTGCGTTGTGGCCGCACTAACCCAGGTTCGAATCCTGGCAGCGACATCCGCCTTATTGCCTCCACTACACACATTCACTACCATCGACTGCATTCGCACCATCCCACACAATCACCACTGCACTTCACACCAACCAATCCACAATTGACACTTCCAATTCAACTGAGTCCTCACTGACACCGGTGTCCCGTGACGACGCACCGACACAAGTCATAGACCGCATTCCGTCGCACACTTCCGATAGCGTACACGGCACGTCAGTCGTCATTTGACTTCATCTCAATTAATATTATATGATGATCATTGAAATTATTGGTACGTCTATTTGAATGGTTTATTTTCTATAACTTTTTCACGTAGTTTGTTCGTGAACAATATAATTTCTTTTTAATTTCAATCTACCTAGTTTCTTTAGACTTGTAATGCTACATATTATATAATGATCCTTTTTTGGATGAGAATAGACGATCTTTGCATTCGGAAATATGTTTACATCTCTTATCGATTTGTCCTAATTCCTACAATCATTTTATTGTATGGCTGCGTTTTTTTTTGTTCATTCAACCTTCTTGTTTCTATTTTCAAAGCTTAAACTTATCTTAGTCACACATATTATGATTGTTATTATCGTCATCATTAGCATCATAACGCTTAAAAACATTTTCAGAAATTTATTCAACATCCACGCCATTTTACTAATTCATATTATTCTACATATTACGTGATTCGTGATTTGGAATTACATCATTATCTCTCTCATCTCATGTTAACCATATTTATTCCGATCATTATTCTCACAATTTCATTTAACGCTTCAAATTATTTAAGTCAATGCATCAGAATAGCCATCCCAAAATTAACGTTTCTATTTTCTTTTATATTGGTGTAACTAAATAATGTATGTTACCTTTTACTTTTCCACTTTTTGGATTACTAATTTGTATATATAATTGTAGAACCTAAAGAGAATTTATTGAAAAGATATATAATTTTGTTTACAATCCATTGATGATCATTTTACAAGTGTAAGGTCATGAGAATACATTTGAGAATGTCTTTAAATACTTGAATTAAAGAAACTGACAATCAATCCAAATATTTAAAATAAAATTAGATACACGATACCTTTAAAAAAACCCGATACGTCAGGAAATGTAGCTTCTATAATTATCATTGGTTATTTATATTAAGTAGGAGCTCATTGGTGCGAAATTAGAATTGATTGGTGATATAATTTAAAGTTTTAGATTAAACTATTTAATAATGATATATTCAAGAGTTATATTTATAAATTAGCTTCATAATGCGTACTGTTACAAACGTTGGAAATTATTACACTTGTAATTCACCAAATTGTTGTCATCCGTCATGTTGGGAAACAATAAGGAAATTAATGAATGGAATTCTTATATTTAGGGCTAAAAATTATTTATGGAAACGTATTGATGATTCAGGTAATAATGTCATTATAATGGTTGATCAAGAGAAAATAAACATTACAGATATTCCATATCAGTTAATTTATGATTCATTTGCGCAATCAATATTTTCGGATTCACAATATGCTTATAGGTGTAAGTTCCTATTTGTCTGTTTTTATATCTCATGAAATAACCTCATAAGCAAACCGATTTATTCCTTTGATCAAATTGTCATAAAATTACTGAATATTGACTAGGTTTATTGTCATCATTATATGACGATGTCTTATATAAACCCTGTTAGCAAAATAAGACTGAGATTGATCTCATTGTATTCAGCGTTTAAAAAGTCTGTCATAACCAACACTTTCGTTCGTTTTCTTTCATTTAGTGGATGAGTGTTGCATATTAGTGTGCAATTTCCATTAAAGATTTTATTTAAGGCATCTGGAGTTATTAACAACTATTTGATATAGTGAAACCCAATATTTTAGGTATGAAACATGAATATACTGAAAGTTAGCATTTAAAGTGAAATCTCTACCTAAATTTATACGCTATTATGCAGCAATGATATATTAAATAAAAGAAAAATGACAGAAAAACTTTGTTGAGACACGCTTATGGAATATGGAAGAGATTGAGGGGTAACCTCAGACGCTAAATTATGTTAAATGAATTTAAATAGAGTATATGTTTTTGACATAAGAGTAAACACAATTGATTGATCACTGGGTGGTGATCAATGTCATGCTTGTCTAGTCCTTATTAGTGCAGATCGAATGCTATCGATCATGTTGCAATGTGGCCACCAATCTAAGTGACTCGACACTGCGGGCACTATGTATTGAGATTTAGATGGTAGTTATTCGATCTCGTGTCACCCAGGGAGCACCAGTTCCCTCAAGATTACAGGTACACCTTGCTGACGAGTGCCAAGTAGCACGAAACCCGGGTCCAGGGTTTCCTGTTGACTACCTCCAACTACCATCTAAATCTCAACATAAGAGTAAAGTTAAAATCACGTGTCCGGTAATGAACTAATAATATGTATATGAATTTTAAAACTGTAAATTCTGAACAATAATACGTCTGTAATCCTAAGAATTCTCATAGAAATAAAAACGTATGAACTGGAGATGAATATTATCTAACATGATAATATAACTTTGGATACTGTCTGATGATTTAAAACAAAGGGTAAAGAAATGTTCAATTAGAGCATTTAGTTGCTTCCATATTAGCTACCAAGGTTTATCATAGCACCCTTTCCGTACAAATGATTTTTAACAGTACGAAGTAAAATCTACTAAACATTGATTATATGCTTATTCAAAAATAATTTAACTATTGGGTCCACTGCTTGATGAACTATTCCCATAGAACGGAAAATGTACAGTTTATGTTTAATTCATTCTTTAAGTTTTGGATTTTACTGACGCGCACGTCAGAAGTAATATCGATACAATTATCTATGTAAATGTAACCCTTAGATGTATACCAAAGGAAACTTAGTGTTACTGGAAAACCCTCTAGAAGTTATTTCACTCTTCATTCTGATCTGTAGACATCTGTCGACATTTAATTTTAAGATAAACACGTATGCATTTATTACTAGCCATGGGAATAAGAGTTTTAGGGTGATAATAACAGCCACTTATTTAGGTGATTTGGAATTAAGGTAAATAAAATAATAGGAATGGGAATGAGTAGAAAAATAATTGAAAAATCGGAAGTGACACATTCGTTCCAATGAGTTCTAGTCTAACAAATTCATTAGGAATTTCGGAGTGTTCTGTTCTACTTACGCGTAACAACGAACAGATAAACATCGAATCAGTAAGTATGAGCACAGAGGTTATCATCTACGGTTCTTTATCACAAATAATTATACTTACGGTTTACTTCAAAAGAGTTTATCATCACTGTAAATGATTTCTAGCTAGTCTTATATACATAGATTTTATTGTTCTTCTCTTTGAAAGCGTTTATAGTTCATAAGAGCTAAATATTTATACTTTCATTTAACATACCACTTGCATCCTCTATCTATTAAATGAATGTTTTTGCAAGCACCTTAATTATATTTGATATAAAAAATATAACTCTCGCCAAAGAATATGAACATTACTAAATAAACTATATGAATCAAACACTGATAATATGACATATGACATAAATTTTAGTTATTGAAAGGATGAATGAGGTCCCCTAATAACTTCTAGGATCATGTAACACTTTATTTGCGAATAATATGTGTGCAGTCCAAGACTTCATTTTATGATTATTTATTTATTAATCAGTAAGACCCATTAAGTATTGTTTCTCAAACCATCAAAAATATTGTTATTGATTGAGATCATGAACCGACTGATCTTAGATCACCTTTGAAAACTTGGAAGCATTGGACGGCCATTTCGTCTTATTGTGGAACTCCTCAGCAGTGCATATCTACGATCCAGCTCGCAGGATCCGAACCCAGGGCGGGATTGTGGATGTTCACTGTTGAGGAGTACCACAATAAGACGAAACGGCCGTCCAATGCTTCCAGGTTTTCAATGGTGATCTAACATCAATCGTTTCATGACCTCAATCAATAACTTAATAATCTCCACAACCCTATACTGAAAAATATTATCATCTAGCAACTAGTTCAAATTAATCAACAATAGGTAAAATTCATATCTCTGAATGCTTTTTTTTAAATGTCTAGTAGTTTATTTTAATTTAAAAATTCATTCATGTTTGTTTTAATTTTCGTTTTAGCTCCAAGATTAACAAATTATGCTTATTTCATGATGGAAAAATTAAAAAGATCTCATATAGAGAATAGAAAAATTAAAGAAGGTGAATTAATTAATGAAGATAATCAAGATATTAAGATTGATGAAGAATGTGTAAAAAATTCAGAAGAACATTTAATTGCTTTGAATTTACTTAAAAACCAATTGAAAAAGTGGAATCATATAGAACATGAAAGTCAATTAAAGTCTCCTTATGTCTGGATACCATCAAAGAAGTTAGATAAGTTAGAAAATAAACCAGTAAAGTAAGGGTTTTTGAATATATATTATTTAATCGTGTTTTGCAAGATAAGGTTTGACAGAGTATGTATTTATATGAATATACCAAAACTACTTACAATCCAGAAATAGTGATTATTTGTAGGTGATTACTCTAATAGATCTGTCAGTTTAGACTATTTCTTTCTTATAGGCACATGTTATTAATAATTGATTGATCACTGGGTGGTGATCAATGTCATGTGTTTCAGGTTCTTCTTAGTGCAGATCGAATCCTGTCAAAAAAGTTGCAATGTGGCCACGATTCTAGGTGACTTGACATTGCATACACTATGTTGAGATAAGATGGTGGTTGAAGATGGTCAGCAGGAGACCTTGGATCCAGGTTTCGTGCTATTCGGCACTCGTCAGTAAGGTGTACCTGTTATTAATTAAATGAAATGTAATTTTTACAATATTCAATTTGATTGCTGACAATTTAGTAATTATTTCAGCAGAGAAAAGTAATAGTTTTCTACAACTTTTAATATTTGTCTTAGTAGACGGTTCACAATTGATCAGTAGATTTATCTGAATTCTAGAAAATCAGATTATTCATTACTGATTTTTAATCAAAGATTTTCTTGACTACATCTGAATTTTCCGATAACACAATTGTATTATTAAAAATCATAGTATCGAATGAAGCAACTGTTATATACTTCTGATTTTTAGAACCTCTTCAAGTAAGATCATGTCAAGAGGGAACCTGTTTCTGAATTAACCGTATTGCTTAGATCTGTTAACAATATACTCGACACTATCTGCCGTTCAACTTATTAGATTAGAAAACATCTGATGGTAAAATTAGTGAAAAACACCATCTAATGAAATAACTAAGTTTCAGAATAAATAATCAACAGAACAAAGGATCTCATGTCCAACTGATTAAATCTCTGAGAGCAGAGAGCACAAGACCTCCAAAATCTTCTCCCTGAGAAACAATATTCCCCATTATTTTGAGTAATTTATTTCATCATGTTAACATAAATATTCAGTAGACAGCGAGAAGTAAAACAGGTAGAAATGGAGTAACCTTACCGAACTGGGAGTCATGAGCATTGATCAATTATCACTTACAGTGACTCATTCACATACTAAAAACACAATTATTTCGTCTTTTATCTTATGGAATAAAAATCTTTGTAACATTCATTACATTAGATGTGAATCGAACAAAGAAAAAATTAAATAGTACTGGCCAACTATTTCGTACAACACACGTTTGTAATATAATAAGGTAGCAAAATATTAGCTTTATGAGTTACTGATCAATGAAATATTAAACATTTTTCAGTCTACCCGTTGAAAACCGATTCTATGTAGCGTTTGCTTATACATATATATCCGCAAACTATTCTAAAGTTGATATGATTTATCCCCTTTTAGATAATAAAATCTGAAGCAAAAACCATCCTAGAGACCACATAAAATTGTTTGGTGAATTTTATTGATACCAAGGCATTTATTAGAGCTTAATTTATCATTCTCTTCTTGAAAAAAGTTTAATGAAGGGCTTTATGTAATTTCTGAAACCGCAAACATCCAAAGAGGACGATAAAGTAGTGTTTAGTTTTGGTACAAAATTCTTCTAGAGTGTATTAGATATTTGGGTTTGAGAAGCTTACCTGTATTTAAAGACTGCTTTCATTTAATTCTTATTCTGAAGTGTTATTCAATTCAAAGTAGCATTAAGTATTATCGCATTTGGTTATAGTGGTATAAGAAAATATTGGAGGCATTTAGTCTATTATTAATATCAAAGTCTAGTTTTTTTTTCTGGTACAAGCAATAATAGTATGCGCACTGCATAGGAGTCCAACGATAGAATGAAACGGCCGTCCAGTGCTTCCAGGTTTTCCATGGTGCTCTAGATTCAATGGACTCATGATCTCAACCATTAAAATAATAGTATTGCTGAAACTAGACACGATCTACTAAACTTCAAACCAAAAGGTATTCATTAAAACCTGTGTTATACTTTTAAAATAACTTCGTTTAAAATTTATAAACCACGTAGTAGAATCTTTTTAATGTGAAAGATTGACTCAGAACTTATTCATATATGATAGGTGTTAAATTTCATTTGGCACTGATTTTTGAAGAATTTCTTTTGAGTAATGATGGTGTTTGTCCTAAATAATAATTCCTTAGTAAATTATTACTCACCGAATTCAAGTAACAAATTTAATAGCTTTAAGCGTGCCCACTGCTTTCTCTTTGACTTCAGTGTTGGTCCATTCATATCTAATAGAGTACATATTGGAAGTACTGAAATTACAAGTTAGTATATCAGACTAAATTCTACTACTTCAAATTACCAAATCAACACTTGATTGTACTTAATTTACATGACAGTCAAAAATAGTTCTTGGGCTTTTATATAACTATTACAGAAATTATTTCAGTACTTTTATTCCGAGACTTCAATTTAGTTCAAACAATTAAGAGATCTCCATGGATTTAATGTGAGAATAATTGCAAAGAGATTTCTGAACTTGACCATCCATTAACATGTAATTAAAGTACTTCATTTAAAAATGCGCAATTCAGTGAAAGTGACTTTTTACAACAATTATATCTATGGTTGTACAGCTTGATAATAGGTTCGTTGGAAAGAGACCATGTCACTAAACTTTATGGTTTTTTATTTTCTTACGATATCCTATTAAAACCATTTTTTTCAATAAACCACTTAGTCTGAACAGTGAAAGCAAAACACCTTTATTTATTTCATTCTGTTATCATCACAAAAATGATTTTATTAGACAGAAAAGATCTAAACAGAAAGGTAACGGGAATCTACTATTTATGTTGGCATCAAAGCCAGAAAAATGTCGGTCATTTGTTCGACAGATATCATCACGAAAAAAAGATGCAAATCAAACTCTAGTCAGTGATTACAAAATAAAAAGGAATGAACAAAATGATGTATTTGAAGAAACCTCTTGTATGGTAAGATAAAAACTATCATTCTGTAAACATTTTGTAAGATTTGTGAACTTTGTGTGAGTTAAATTGTCAGAATAATTGAAGTTAAATCCAGTAAACTGCGTCTGTCACGCGGAATAAACATCTGGAAACATTATTATACAGTGTTTGAGTATGGCAGTGTACGGCATAAATTAGAATAACAGATTAATTCTCACTAACCACTAGATTTCATTATTCGACCAGTGAAAATTGAGCACAATCTAAAATTAAACTTACATGCTATGTTGACATGATATTTTGGACCTCATACTTATTACTTATATAGTCGTAATATATTTAAACTTTATTCGGTTCTGGTTTGTTGAAAATTTAGGTTTTTTATCCTAGAAATGCTCTTATGCACGAAGTCATCAAATTTAATGTTCACTTAAAGAGTATTAGTCCTGGTCGAGTTTTACACGCTCATCGTTCCCGATTTGGTCGACTGATTGAAATTAAACTTGGATGCAAACAATTTACTAAGTCAAAAATTTTGCATTAGCATTATATTCTCACTCGATTCCAGTAAAGTGCCGTATTGGTTTGCTAAAGGTTTTCTAGCCTGTGTATATTACCACTAACTAGTGAATAGGTGATTTACAAATATAAGCAAATAGCTATATCAGATCTAATTCACTAATTACTATTAGAAGGTCATCATGGATTTAGAATATTCTCTTAACGTTTAACTACTTTTAGTATTGAAAAGATGATCATATAGCCACAAATGGATGAATATATAAAAAGACTCAAAAAACTGTATTGCTTTATACGGATCTATAAATTAATTGATTCTCTGAGCCTAATATATTGCCTTTTACACCATTAAATGATTTATTTGTTAGACAAAACGTCAGTTTTGGATTATGCACTCAGTGACAATCAGTTGGTATTAGAATATAGTTCAGGGTGAATCCTTATTAAGGTAACATTAGACGTCTGTTGACTCGATTGGAAAATGTATTATAAAACTTGTTACGTTTTATTCAATTTACTGATAAGTTAATTGCTAAACCTTATTGACTACATTTATAGATTAGTCTACACTACATCATACTATACAGTTTAAATTACCTATTAATTACAGAAGATAATAAGTAAGATTTGGGGTAAATTTAGTTTGTTTAGATAGAACTAGCCGAATGTGGTAATCTGTAATTAAAAGTACATTATATCTAGAGTGAATAACGTAAGTGTAACAATATTTAGAATGTTTCATTAGAATAATATTATAAAATATCATCTATACTCTTCTGTTTGGAACAAAGTTTAATCAGTCAAATATACAAATAGAGTTGACGATTGTACTAAATTAACACAAGAACTAGGGAAATGACAGAAAAGCTCCAAAACTTGGTATCGAAATTTGTTCATAATGACAATAGCGCATAAAATTTAAAACAAACTTAAACAAGACCTATTTTCAAATTTGATAATTATGAATGATGTAGTCATAGTGACTTATAAGGATAGAATGATGACAAATGAATAAAACCGTAATTTAAATACTTAGCAGGGAACATATAGTATCTAATAAAATAAAAAACACACAACTTAATATTTAGTTTACAAGAAGCTATTCGATTTCATTACCAATTCTGAAAAATCAATAATCAATGCACTTTTGTCAATATTTTAGGTAATTTTAAAATCAATCATTGAATTACCTTAACACTTTACACTTACCTTAACACTTATATAAACTTTGATTTATTTTACCTTTTACACATCATTATTCAGATAGATCCTTCAAGTGAATTCCAATTTTTTTGAATTACAAATTTTGTAAATAATTGAAATAAATCAAATCTGATGGTATTGTATTTCTTTTTTAAAAATAATTTTACCATTTTGCAGAACAGAAATTGAAACTAAAATAATGATTTTTGTAAGCAATGATGGATAGTGGCTAGCAGTGGAATCCTGCTGACGAGTCCCAAATAGAACGAAACGCGCATCCTGGGTTCTACTACTAGCCACTACCCATCATTGCCTACAAAAAGCTTGTGAATTAAGGCAATATCTAGGCATACGCACAGTATGCACATATGCCAATAACAGACTGATCAATTGCAGTCTTAAAAACCTCAGTGGGAAGGTACAAGCCAAACAATACCAAGTGAATGTAAAGTAATGATTGTTTAATTATTTTCATTTAAATAATCAAACCGAAATGATTTAATATTTTAATGGTGTTGCATCTACTCACTTGAATAGGTGGATCGGTTCACACTTCATTACATTCTAAACAAGTTTGTTTTCTGTCAGGAGAGGTTTTATGGAGATTTTAGAAATTTCAATAGTTGAAATCATGAGTCAGTTGAAACTAGACCACTATGGAAAACCTGCAAGCACTGGACAGCCGTTTGGTCCTATTGTGGGACTACTCAGCAGTGCGCGTCCACAACCCTGCCCCTACGAGAGTCTGAACCCAGGACTTATCAGCCTCGCGCGTGAGCGTTTAACCACTAGACCACTTAGCCGGCATCCAACGGTGTTAATGTCTAACTTCAATTAATCCACGAAATTGTTTTTATTAATCAATTCCAAGAAGCCATCTTTTATGATTATCGTTTTGTTTAATAATATTTGGAAAGATGCAGTTAGATATCTTGTGTACCAGAAATATTAGTCATATTGTAGTGAACAAGAACACAAGTGGGGACAGTCGAATGTATTTGGGTACAAAATTACAGCACATCTAACTGAAATCTGAGAACCATACAGTAAAAAATTAATTTGCAAAATATCAATTAATTGCCTCAATGTTGACTGTTCCTTTAGCAAATATCAGTCCATCGTCTCAGATTTCATTGATCATGCATTTTCCGTTTCGATTTTTCTCTTTCGATCTTCCACTGAATTACATTCTATGTCTGATCATCGTTGAATACTACTTATGTGAATATAAATATCTCATACCACAATACGAGTGGCAATCTTAGAACAAAACGATACTCTGATTCATTAATTATCGGTTATTTGCATGATATTAGAAGTTCTGATTATAGCCAAATGTTTATACATTTTTCTTATATTTTAGCCACGATGGATGATATCATGTCATATAAGCGAACACGCCCTAAGGGCAAGATTGTTACCCTTGGCTCGAGCACAAATACGTCGACATATTCAACAAGGAAGTCTTATATTGTGTCCTAGCACAAGTAACATTGAATCAGACAGAAGGTCAGAAAAAAGAATTCCTGACAGTAAGGTTTCATTAACAAAAATCTCAGAAGATGTATGTGGTTTCGAAGGAGATGACCAGCAAATGTTAGTACTTTATGTCAATAGAAAATTTTTAGTTTCTGGATTAAATAGAAACAGATATGGTGGTTGTGTATATAAGTGTTTAAGTCTATTCGTTGTGGCTATTAAGGGCCATCATTTATCAATCTCAATCGACATATGCCTTTTATGAACAGATTGTTCCCATGTAGCCAAGGGGTCATAAGTTTAATAACATTAATTTTTAAACATCAACACTGGAATCCAGACACCTACACCCAACAATTCCCAAATATGTCAAAAATAGGCTTCCTGGATTCCACTCTCAGTCAAAACCGGAATACGCTAGTTGCCTAGGCAGAGACTTATATATTTGTCTTAAGTACGCGCATACTAAGAAAGTACTGAACATGTATGAAAGCATAAAACTCTTAATTGCATTTAGACAACTTTAAACCTGTGGATCCTTGACTACTTAATCCATTCGTTAACATCTGAAATACCAGTTATTTTTTGAATAATCATTGGCTTGGAATAAATTCGTGTAATTGCCCTAGAAACGTATCCTATGTTTGAAGACTAATGATACCACCTGGTTGCCGAATACGCCACTTTTGAACTGTAAATCAAACGCTCCATTTATTGACCCACCCCTCCATAACATCAAAAATCAAGTGATTTCGGCTGTCATTGGATCGAACTTTGCTGATCTTAGAAGTCACTAGTATCCAATGAGATATCTAAAGGAGTATCAACTGAAGGAGTGTAAACTGATTTATATTCAGTAGTCATAGTTCCTAATTCTATGCAAATAAAACTGATAAAAACGTGAATTATATTTAAAGTATTAGACAGCAAACAAACGTCGATGTCGCTGTTTAAATAGTATATAAATTTCAACGAGAAACATATTAGGCTATTGCTTTACTTATAAAGTACACCAGAGACTGGAGTAATGAAGTATTTCAATGAGATGGTCTTAATAACACAAATTAGTGTGAAGTTACCGCTACTGTTACAGTGAGTACTGTGGTTAAGTTATTTTTATTGGTTAGATCAACTTAATAGTTTAACTTTTCAGTCATATAACACAATTACTTGATAACCAACCGTCAAATTGAACTTCATCTCTAAACTACCATTGATTATTAAACCACCAATTAAAGAGTTAAACAAACTGCAAAAGATAGGCTAACTGTTTATATATGTGGTAGTTTATATAAAATAATTCATTTTAGATATCATAAAGTGGATAAAAACTGGAGAATTTTAAACCTCGAAATATTATACCTAATTCATAACCCTTTTATAAGTTGGAATATTATGAAAATATCGTTACGCGTAATCTCAATTTCTTTGAGTTTATTTATAATACCAGCTTAAATTTTAACCAATTAGTTCCATTATTGTGAAACACATCACAAATATCCTACTCTGTTTCTGATTGCAATTTCGAATTAATTCAGAAAGCTAATAATCAAAATGATCTTGTCCTTTTGCAATGGATATATGAAAAAGACTCATTCGCTCAAGTGATTTCATATCACACTTTGTGAGTATCATGGCTACTATACTTGAAATGAAACTGATGGAGTCAGTAAACACTAGATCAAAGAATGGTTTTAATTCTGAGAATGAAACATCATAACATTATTTAGATATCATGGATTATCACAAAACTATGGGTGACCCAGAAGTTTATTGAAATGAAGGCATGAAACCTAGGCATAGAAGTTCGATCTCGACTTAAGATAATCGAGACCAAAAGTGTTAGGTTTGAATCCGGTGTGCGAGATCGTGGATTCATACTACTGAGGAGTCCCACCCTAGGAAGAAACAGTCATCCAATGCTCCCAGGTTTTCAATGGTGGTTTAACATTGATCAGTTCATGATTTTGATGAAATAAAAAAGGTTCTTTTTATAACTCATTCCTGATTATCTTAGCGATAACAAGTATTATATAGTTATTCTTTTAGTTTTCGCTGTAAAGGTTAGCAATAAAACACTGAAATGTATAATTCTTTCGAAATTTGATTTAATCATTTTAGTTTATTCACTAGAGAACTTACCATACCAAACCAGAAACTTATTTCTTTTAATGAATCATTGAAGTCAAATGGGGTAAATTTGGAACAGTGCCAGCACACTAAACCGTATTTCTTGAACGAACTATTAAAATCTCAGTGTTCTAGACATGATAAACGAAAAGTTTCTGATTCTCCATTTCAAGTAAGTCGGATTGTTTTGAATTTTAGTCGTTTGTTTTATATTACTAAAATAAAGAGAGTAGTTATCATGGAGATATGTTTCACACTTAACATTTCTAGTTGAATTTACACTAGCAACGAAATTAAATACAACTTCCTTTGTAGAAGTCTCCTTATCACTAAATTCATATACATATGTATGATTATATTTTAATAAACACTCAAGTAAAAATTCATGATTTTTTATCTGACAAGATAACAATTCATTCTGTGCATGAATGGTCGGTATATCTTAAAAAGCCATTTGGAAAACCGTCATGGATTATCAGTAATCGCCTAAATTTAATTTATAATAATATAATAATAATATAATACAATATATAATATAATAATAATATAATATATAATACATTATGTAATGTAATAATATTAGTAACCTTTATAGACAAAGCCTTTCAATTAATTATGCGTACATTTCATCGCATGAACAATTGTATTCCGAAGAAAAATTATCGTTTTTCACTTCGAAAATTGATTAATTGGTAATGTTCATCCATTCCTTTATTCGGCAAACTACTCATCAACTTATGAATTAATAACAAATGAATATTGATCTACTTAAAATTTATGAAACAAATCCAGTTGGCCAGTTTTTATTTCTCACTTAGTATCTGTTCTATAATTTAAACTTGAAGATGCCACATGTATTCGGAGTTTGACAACGCTTTAACCAGTAAAACCTTCTAATGTGAATCATACCCACCAAGTGAAATCAAAAGACAGAAGCGAGGAGGTTCGAAGATATATTTGATAGACTATCAATATATCGAGGATCGTCTGGTCTAATCTGGCTAGCGATTGCAGGGGTTGTTGAGCACGGCGTTCCCACTCGTGATCTGGTGTGGATGCATGACCGAGCATCTTCAGCTAGGTGAGTCCATTAAAACTAATGTGGTCAGCATCCAATGTCGAAAACTTACAGAGCTATTTATTTTGGGGATTTATTTACCGCTACAAACTTATCAGTCAAATACACATGTATATATGGTGATAAGTTGATGTAATTACACACTAACAACTAAATTAATCGATCATATTTATTAATTAATACTGAACTAACTTTACAATCTATTTTTACTCAACACAAATCGAACACAAAACAAACATCCATCAAATGACCACCATTTTAAAAAAAAACATGTTTTAGTGTTGTACTCATTTATGAGCTAATTAAAATAACCCATTGTGTCATTGAATAAATATAGAATTCGGCGAAGAAAATCTCCTTTTTGACGAGATCATTTACAGTTTAAGTAAATGATTTAATCGGGAAGAAACTTCTCTTCGCTTAGTTCCTTTTATTTTTATTCATCCATCAGCTTTTATTATTAAATAAGGTGCCGCTTTTTTCAATTTATTATTTATATTACTCAGGAACAAGATGAATTAAAAGCAAAGTCACATTTGTTAAGTGACCTGTTACTATTTCAACAGTCCAGACTAAAAAGATCTGAGCCAACTCCTTCGCACTATTATATGAGTTCTGTTGATAATCTACAAAGTTTATACATGAACCGATGTTATACATCACCAATTAATTGGCCATCTTTATTACCTAAGAATTCAGAGTTGAAAGAAACAAGCTACAATTTAGGTGAAATGATTCCATCTTCATCTAGCCAAGAAAAGTACTACACTAATGATATAATACAATCAAGAAATTTATGTAAGATATAAGAAATCATGTTTGCTTTCTGAATTATATTTTCTAGAAATTTGATATTAATGTTGTTTTGAAATTTTGTAGTGTTATAAGTTATCTGCGTTTGAATGTCCTAATGTGGTGCGTGCTACTTATATTGATGTAAGGAGTATATGACGCGAGCTAAAAACGTAATGTCTGGCAGCAGAAGATGGGAGGAGATCAAAAAAGAAAGAGCGGGAACACAATGCGATTTGTAAGAAAACGTATGAACAGTGAAATATGAGACAATGAATTGATGTTTGCAACAGGAACAGTTTGGTTTGATATGATGGACTAATAAATTGCAAATTCACGATTTGCTATATGGTTTTCCTATTTTATCAAGAAACTGTAATTCTCTACACCTCGGTTGTCCCCACCCGTGTTCTGTTCACTACACTAAGATTAAGCAACTTTGATGTATTATTTACATCTCGTATTTCATTGCTCTTAGTATTTTCATCGTACCTTATTATTAAACAAAGTGTGGTAACTGATAGGCAAACCAATATATGATTATTGAATTCTTTCGAGATTGATTTTATCAGTCCGTGCTAATAAAATATGAAATCACAAGCTTTAAAAAAAACTCATATCCGAATTGGTTGTTGGTAAATAGGGTGTTGGATTTTGAAATAATGAATGAGTTGTAAGTGATGTATGATAATTTAAGTTGAAATATCAACATGAATGTATGTCAGTTGAATTGACATGTCCCATATATATTATGAACAAGAACTTATGTTGAATTCTTCTATTATCAATCATTGACTAAAATAGCAATTGTACAAAATGTATTACATCTCATAATTGACACTAACTAATATTAATAGTTTAAAACTAAAAGTTCGCGAAATTACATTTCTTAAAATATCAGTTTTTCTACTTCACATTTAGTCTGGGTATTGTAATCTGTTTAAGTATAATTTAATCGAAATAATCAATTTGATTTTAAGAAACAAATCGAGGTAGTAATCGAATTCATGATTCCAAATGAAAGTCAGAAATTTTGAAAAGTTCTGGAAAATTTGAACATTCATGTTGAATAATTTTTATATTCACAGTTGATTGATCACTGGGTGGTCTTCAATGTCATGTGTGTCAAGTCCTTATTTAGTGCAGATCGAATGCTATCGACCATGTTGCATTGTGGCCACCAGTCTCCAACCACCATCTAATCTCACTTTTTATATTCACTAGTGTAACTTTTTATGACACTGTGATCAATTACAATTTTGTAATAGTTTCGGATGTATAATTTAGAAGGATTTTTTAATGAACTGAGTTGATTAAATTGTAACTGATCAATGCTAACTGATCTAATATCTCATATATGCAATAAATTAATAACAGATTAGATGAAGATTTATAATGCTTTTTGCTTAACATCATCTTCATACAGATAACGTAGATAGAAAATTTCCGATTATTAAAAATAATGAAAATGTATTTCGAAATTGGATTAGTTTGATTTGTGTATATTAATCAGAAAAAAGTGTTACTAGTTCATTTAATTCAAAAATATAAATTCCCAGTATGGACAATTAGACGTTCTTGTCATTCCATCATCAACTTTATAATAACTTCTTACAGAGTTCTTCTAGTATACATACATGATCTTTGATTTGTAGAAACTGATGAGTAAAGAAGATAACAGAGTATATTCAATGAACATATAAATTCTTGATCGAGATTTGTTCTCCCCTTCCAGCCAAACAAGTTGGTGAAACCTAGCAGGCCCCTCTAGAGAAAAACAGGTCACATAGAAGCATGACACAACTACCGGGGCTAGAACAACTTTTTTTGCAACCGGTTGGAGTTTGCCCCGTAAAGAGCAACCCCATACATTATATGCACCACTTTTGTGAATTTTTGTCGTTTTTCGATCCACACATATATTTTGATTCTTTGTGGATTTAGTAATCACTTTCAAGGTATCGGTCTAGTGGGGCGATTGGCCCAATCTCTACCACCTGTATACCGCTCACGATAGTTCATGGGTCATTCGTCTCACTATCCAGGAGGCACGACGCGAACGTGTAAGTCGGGTTTTGTCTTCCGTCCAGAATTTTAAGATAATTTAAATGTTATGATAGAAATATCAACAAACATATATTACTTGAAAGTTCAATGATTACTTGAATATAATAATATTTCTTCATTATTTTCAATTCACATAATCATCTATATCTGATATTACAGACAAGGAGACATCCCAAAAACATTTTAGTCAGCTATTGCCAAAGGATAAATAATAACTTTATGGTAAAGGTCCAGAGTTTAACAGTTTGACAAAGCCACAAATTTTTGAACAAATAAATATAACCAGCTAAGTAAATAATGTTAATTTTCAAAAGACATAAAATATTGATCTGAATTATTGGCTATTTTCATGAATTTCACTCAACAAATTACTAAAACATAACACTGTTATTTTTATTTTCCATCATCTACAATTCCTACACGTACTTATATGTCTATTTTTTCAAACAATCATACTGAACCAAGATATTGTTTCTGATTTATTTTTAGTGGAAAACGAGAATTCATTATCTAATATTAATGATTCATTTGAAAATGGTTCAAATTCAGTTGCTATATGGCAAATAATGCCTGGAAGACTACTTCGTAGATCTAAAACTCAGTATATATTAAATAAAAGTCAACAACTGAAAAATGATCAAATTTGTACGGATAATTTGAAACAAACAAAGAATAAATTGAAATTAAATTTTATGATTGGTAAATTACTTATAAAGTCATTAACAGATGAATAATTCTATTTGATGGTTTCTGTTAACGCTGTTCATAAAATAAAAATAATCGAATGACATCATCAAGTTGATTCACTGAGAAACGATATAGAAACATTTAGTGAAAGGGTTTCGAGCTACTTAGACTACTAAGCGTAGAAGGACCTTGTCCGACATAATCTAATAAACTCTAAAGATTAGATAAAAACGGCATTAGTTATTACTCAGTAATCGGTTAGTAGAAATCTAGAATAATTTAACTTATAATGGATTCCGTTCATATAGAGGTTCTTCTTATGATGTTGTTTTTTCTAAAACTTACATGAAGTCTACAAAATTATTCTGTCTACCTGAAATAAATCGTACTGTATTACATTTCGTTTGTTCAATTCTAATAAGTGCTTACAAATCACACTATGATCTACCGAGTGAATTCTACAGTGTCATCTTATCAGCTATCATGATAAAAGAATATGTAATTACTTTGTTCACTCAATATATTTATATTATAAGAGAGAATCATAGTAAGAAATGCATTTAAGGAAATCATATACTCACAAAAATTGATAATTATAGTCTTGAATATCAATAAAAGGGATTAATTTAAATATTCCACGCTAATCACTAATTGACAATCGAAAAATAAAATTATTTGACAAGAGAAAACAGAGGATTAAAAAGTAACAATGTACATATTCAGACAAGAGAAGCAAAACATTTGATTCCAAGAAATCAGTCTTGGGAAGAATAAGATTATTCACAGCTTTACAAGTTTAAATCACACGACACCACTGAAAACGATTATGGTATGAATAGATTGTATTGTCAATGTCAAGATATACTCCATACTAATATGAGGTAATAGCTACATTAATAGAAGTATGTGAAATGAAAATTCCGATGAATCATTTCATACTTCATTTCAAACAATGTAGCTATTCTCTCATTTTAATTCCAACACACCATATTACATAATATTTCAAACTCAATGTGCATAGAAATTCTCATGGTTGTTTCGCATTTTCAGTAAAGTAAAATCTGGAGTTTGCCAGTTATGCTTAATTGGAGTAAAAAGATAACTTACTATGGAGAACTAATTGACTAAACATGATAAATTATCAAATGACAGTTTATGTTTAATTTAAAGACTAATTTTTTAAGATGTATAACCATTGGGCTCCATCTGGATCATTTTTAGTGTTGCTATCGGTCTCAAGCCCAGATAATGGAGTACTGTGTACGAGGAAAAAGTGAAATCCAACCGGAAAAATCTCATATACATCAATTGTATAAAAATGATATCTATATTTGTAGAAAATGCACTTCTAGGCAAAGTTGACAGAGAAACCTTGGTATGCCTAATAAAACTTAAGACGAATAGCATACTAATTAATAATCATTCGATTTATTACATTTTACTCGTCTATTATTTTCTTTAAATGACAGATCATTTGTTTACTTTACTCAACACTGATCGGTATAAACTAGATTAAAATCATTTTCAATGGATTGCAAGGTAAAGTTTGAACAAGTGTGTGGTTATCAACCACACTATATTCACACAGAGTACTTCGAAATATGATCTCCAATTGTATATCATTTTATTAAAAAAAAAGAAAGCAAAACGATCGTGTTTTCAGAAATGAGATTATTAATTCCACTGTAATTCTGTTCAAATAAGTATTAAGTCAGTTGACTAATCTATCGTGTATCCTTTCAGTCAACATGTTCACCCACCTGGATTAGCTGAACATAAACAAGTCTCTCCTGATTGGTCGATATTATTTCGCTTAATCATTTCTGTTGTCTGGTGGTAATAATAATAAACAGTGCTCTTATAGACTAAATCTATACCTCCAAACAATTTAAGTTTTGATCCTTAGCCTTTTTCTATCTAGTTTCCTCTATTTATCATATCATATATTCAGGAAAATTTTCGCTAAAAATTATAGATAATGTATTATTTAAAACTTGTCACCAATTATTCCATTTTGGATAACACTAAAATCGAAAAAAATACATCATTTATACAGAGCTTGATATTTGAAATCAGTATGCAAGAAGTGGTTCAGCTAGATCTTATCAGCTTTCGTTAAAATGGCTTCTTTGAAACATTTCAGTAAATTGACTTGCTTACTTACTGAAACCAACAGAGTACTTTTATTTTCTATCGTTTGTAAATTTCAAAAAATAACAGCTATCATAAAGTTTTAACTGTCTTATTGGATTTTTAGAGAATGTTAATAATCAACACCACAGGAAGAAATCACTGGATTCAAACGTTATCAATGGTACTTCAGAAGTGGAACTCTTGAGGCCAACAGAAGATACACATGAACGAGATAATGACGACTTTAGTGAGAATAGTAGCCGTTTCAATAATTCCTACTGGTCTAGCCGACGTCATCCAGGTTATATTGAACGTATGCATACAATAGGTTCTGTTTCAGATCGTAAAAGATTACTTCAAGACAATAATAGTAAAAACAATAATGACAGAAATTACATCGCTCTAGAGAAATACAAATTTGTCGATTCAGTTAATTTGATCACCTTGAAACCTAAAACAAAATCTTTTCTACCACAAATACGTCATTCTGTCTCAACGGAAAAACACTGGAACAAAAATATATTGGGACTTAATTCCTTTGATTTAACTGATCAAACTAATCATTCCAGTTCATTACCAATGTTAATTAAACCACCACCGCCTAGTCCGGATGTAAAGTTTTTAGATTTCTCATGAAATATCGAAAAATTATATATATAGATAAAACAAGTGTTCTCTTACTTTAAGTCAGTAGATATTATTTTCGTTTTTGTAAACACAAAACTGGTACTTGATTTTCATGACTGAGTCATGCTACTACTAGACTACATAGATAGTTAGACTTTATTTTCACTCATATCACTAACAGACTGATTAGATTTGATTAGTGAAAGTTGATAGTCAATAAAGATTGAGGCTGATTACTTAAATTTTATTCTTAAAAAGAAATTGATAGGTAAGTTTATTTTAGTGATTAAAAAGTCACTAATTATAACCTTCACATGATATAGCCCATAGATAATCCATCTTGCACGATAACTAGTCTGTGAAACATTTTTGTACAGACTGAGTAACTTATGAGATACAACCTAATCAAGCCAAGTAAAATCGAATTGCTGATATTTATTGTGATATCTTTATGGTGATTAAAAAGTATTCATATATGTTGAGTGTTGCTAGACTGAAATACATAGGAAACCACTATATAATATTAAAACGATCAATGGATCTCATTTATTTTGAAAATGATGTCCGTAATTATGATAGATCAATTCATTATGATGTGTGAAAGATGTGATATAGAACTCTGATATATTAAAACACTGAAAAAAAGCGAATAAATCAAAAAGTTGGCAGTATAATAAAAGATTTATTGATTTTTATAACATTAATTGTATTTACAATTGATTGATCACTGGGTGGTGATCAATGTTATGTGTCTCAGGTCCTTCCGAGTGCAGATCGAACCCTATCAACAAACTTGCAATGTGGTCACTATCTAGGTGACTTGACATTACGTACATCATGTTGAGATTAGATGGCGGTTGGAGGTAGTCGAACTTAAAATCTGTAGGAAATATAACCCAAATTTTCTTCACGTCTCTCAGGATATGCGGTGTATTGTAATTCAATGTTTTTCCATCAAATTCGTCAGTAAGTTGAAATATAAAAGTGAATATTATAGCCTGTATCTTGTTAAATGAGATTAGCAGTGTCATTGTAATCACTTAAAATCATTTCTAAAATGATTATCATCATAAAAGTGAGTAATGCCTTCTAATGACGGTATTTGTTTGCGTTCATATACCATTTAAAGGTCAGTCAAATAAATGAAAAACGTTTTTATTGGGATAAAGGTTACCATGAAATAACCGATAAAGTTCAACATAGAAAATGTTCAAACTCTTAATTACGAATGTAAAACTAAAAATATTTTTATTGAAAAAAATATGTAAAAGACTGATAAAAATTGCGACCGAAATTCAATAACATTTAAGAAAACGCATAACTCAAGAATAAGATTTTTCGATTAGGTGGCTCAGAGGTTGTCGATATTTAACCCTGATGATAAAAAACTTATTTTTAAGCCAATTAAATTGAACTAATGTTCTATATGCACTAAGAATAAATTAAAAGTACACTAACTAGGACAATACAAGTCAAGAATGATGCATTATTCACCGAAAGTGTACGTGTACAAAAAGTGTACAACTCACACCATTCTTTTACATCTCAATGCCTGATCTATATACAGTTTTATTACTCTCAAGTTCATTCTATTTGGTCACCACAAATTTCCAGCAATGCTTAAATTGTGAGTGTGAAGTTTTCTTCGATGTTGTAAGGGATAGAGCATGTATGGGGTTTATTGAACGTTGGGTTAAATAGACGAGTGAGAGCATGTACTTATTAGTTTTGCGAAATAAATTGGGTTTAAAAGAGAAGAATTCCGTAGTTTAACCACATTCTTGTTTAGCTTGTTCATGAATATATATAGTAGTTATAGCATAGCGAAATTTGTGGATGGAATGATACAGCAATTAGTATGGCCGACTAGGCAAAATACTTTCTGATAGCATCCATTGTAAAAATGTTAAAATAAATAAAATTCTGTCACTATAAATTGGAAACTGATATGGTGAGCTAATCAGAAGTAGCCAAATGAGGTCAATCGATGGAAATCATAAATGACCTGTAGGACAAGTATATTTCATTGGCTAAGAAATGGAGGGATTTTCTATAGGGTATATATATATATATGCATTTTATTCGTTGGCCCAATATTTTCCTCGTCAAATCTTTTGTTCTCGCTCAAGTAGTTAGTTAGGGGTTAGCGCGTTGCATGTCATATATGAGTATTAGATTTTGGACACCTCTCATCACAACAGAAATTGATCTTCTTGAAGCTTTTGATGAGAAGGTTTTGTGATCAAGCTAGAAATCATCATCAAGTTCTAGAATTTCTTTCGCAAAAAACATATTTGTAACTGAAGATTCAATCTTAATGCAACATAACAGATTTGTTAGTACAGTATAACTTTTGTTGTCATCTATCTGGCTGATTCATGATATTAATATGATTTTAGACAGTAACTCAATACTAAACATTAAAATATACTCTAGCGATTAATGAATAGTAAATGTATTTAGTGATGATGACTCTTTAAAAAGGTGAATGAAGTACATATCATACAAAACATGCATCCTTATCCAGTAACTTCTGATGTTGTTATTTTAGTTTAGTAAGAGATTATAATTATGAATAAGAACTTGAAAATTTCCATTGAAATGCACTGATACAAATTATATAGTCTTTCAACTACTCAGTAAATTTAGGTTGACACTGTTATCATCTTAATATGTGAAGTAATTAGAGATTAAAGAGAAAAACATTAGGAAATATAATGTATTAAAAGAATATAGAAATAATAAGTAAATGAAATGAATACAATTATATGTTATAACAAATACTACTTTTTTTCCCTTGCATTTTTTTAATTACACTTGATTTTATGTAATCTAAAAATCAGAAAGATAGTGGAAGAAGGTGTTAAAATCTGATAAGTGAAAAAATTACCGAAAAAAAGCAAAAAAGGAAGAAAAAACAAATACTGAAACATTTTTTTCCTATTTGTTTGCAACGTCATAGTAACAAAACACCTTTCTGTTGTTGTGGGAATGATTCAGCGGCGGTGGGGGGTGGTTTAAGGTGAAAATCAATAGTTAATCCTTTTCCAGTTATAACCATACTCTATATTCTTTAATATTATGTGGTGAATTGAATTCTTTCAGTAATACAATACAACAACAAAAAAGGCTATTCATACCAGTTTATTTTACAGCTTTCTTGTAAACAATATGAATGAATAATGAAAACAACCTCTAAAAAAATTAATATCATAAATTAAAATTCATACGCCTATTAGTTGAAATTTTGAGTAACTTGTGTTAAGATAAACTAAATAGACAATGGGATTGAATGATCTTTGTAATCTCACTTGTGTACCATTTTCTCATTAAATTAGTTGATTGTGACTAGACTATTTGATATCATGAAATATCATATTTATGTTTCCGATAAGTCTCCAAAATTCATCCTTTTTTACTATACAAAAAACATTGAGAATTACACTATTATCGACCCTTAATTGATTCTATATATTATATTACCATTGTTAACAAATCGAAAAAAAATTAAATTCAGTTGAAATTTCTGATCATAGATACTATTTTGTTAGATCATTTCCTTTCGGCATTTTATTAAGTATTTTCAAAGTTTTTCTTTATTCTTCTCAATACTTTTTTGATGTAATAGTTCAATGTTTGATTTAAATCGGCCTGCTTGAGCATCTGGGCTACCTGTCCTTGCCATCTAGACATTTCAACAAGTTATCTATTTTTGTTTGTTTTAATATATCATTATGTCTATTAATCGCATAACCTATTCTGCTGCGTTTCTGAAAAGTTTACAACCTTTCGTTGTCAAAGTTACAAAAAGCTCAATAAGAGATAATGTGGTTGCTGGCAATATACAGTGAAAAGATTGTACATTATTCAGATGTTCATTTATTGGACTGCTAACATCTAACTGGCGATCACTCAATATTTATAGCCAGGACCGACCAAGAAGAAAGAAACGGAAACTTGTTGAAATACTTTGCGCTGAGAATTCTATATTGTACCAAAAATCTAATATTGAATAAAGCTTATAATAATAATAAAGATATGTATTGAACAAGGGAGAATAATGAAGATGAGTCTCAACTTATAAATTTCACCACATATTCTCAGAACTATAATTTAATTCATTCAACAGTTTCTTTACTATTGACATGAACATAAACTTTTCATTTTTAAATGCTAGATTTTTTCGATCAAAAACTGAATCACTATTGGCTTATTATCCTGAGTAATTAGGTTTCAAATTGTGTTCACATTATTATTATTATTATTATTATCCCTGCCTCCTCTTACCCCATTTCCAGTCTAGTTGACCTTTTATTTTTTTATATATAAATGTTCTTAACAAGTATATGTGTGATCTGATTATTCAAAATGTATTGCGCTAATATATCACATAGTTCTGATAATCTTCGCCTTCTTATTACATTATCGAAATTTATTAAAGAGACTAAGTGTTTTGAATCGTTATAACAATTTTTTTTTAAAAACTACCCACATCCAACTACGAATGGTGCATTGAAGTATTCAGTGTTTTTCTATAAAACTAAACAATGTGGTTTGTATGTTAATGATCATATCTTCTATGATAAATAATTTGAATAATGTACCAGAAGTTTTCACCATTCCATTGAAGTTTTAATAATCCTATAACTGCACATGTTACCAAAAATACGATGGCTGTGGTCATGAGCATAAATCTTATGCTTGGAGCATGTATTACTGAGAGAAGAGCTAGAAAAATATCAGACATGTTAAAAAAGAAAAAAAACATTATAGTATGGGGGTAAAAAAAGAAGTGTATAAATAATGCGAACAGACTTTCACATATTAAACACTTTAAGGCTAACTTACCTTATATGTTTCTCAAGCTGTTTTTCAGCATTTCAATTGAGATTAATTTTTATTGATAATAACATCTTTGGTCTACATAAAATACGAGAAAGCTATGACGTTTAGACAATTAATAAGTTTATAAGTTTCTACAGATATACCAGGTCACTGAGTAAAATGTAATAATCCGTCTCTGAATTGACTGTAGTTCTTTCAACTTAACTACA